TCTCATTGATTTTCAATGAATGCACTCGTTATCTCTTTTCCGTCTTTGATACTTTTTTCCTCACCTCTAAAGCATTTCCGCGAATTTTTGCCAAAGCTGAGAGACACCTTTTTCCCCTATTTTTTTTCATCTCTGCTTGTGCAACAACCCTTTATCTGCCTCTCAAATCTACACGCCATGCAACACTTTGCGACATTGCGCGCCTCGTAAATGGCGCTGCACAAGAACACTTTTTCTCACAATTTTCGAGTTCAATGTTAAAGTGTGACGCCTGGTGTGCACTGATTAGTTTCAGAGCGTAAATGGGTGTTAAGTGCAAATTGATCTGGGTTAAATAATTAGTGGACATGTGAGTTGATTACTCAATCGCCGCGCAAGAGAGACCAAACAATTTTGTCTGATGGTCATTACGTAAAAAAGGCCGGTCGCAGGCCTTCCCATTGTGTATCTCCAGCATCTCTTCAGCTTCATGTCTCGCTCTACTCGGTGGCTTAATTGTGTCGCAGACATCCCAGCCATCATGTGGAGTACGTTTTCGCGCACAGACTCGCCACGCCGCAGTTAGAAAGTATATAAAAAGAGCTTTTTCCTTATGCGCGAATCTCTCTGATGGTGTTGTGAAATTGAAAACTGAGGAATGTCCAAAGTTATTTAAAGACATTTTCACTTCCTGACGCGCGACCAAGAGGATGGCCATCATTGGGCAACAATCGCGCGTTTACCAAATTTGAATCACATTCCAATGGGATTTTGTAATAAAGTGTATTAGATAAATTGTGGCATATTTTCAATATTTTCAATGGGGGAAAACATCCGAAAACAATGTTGCAATGCCATGTCTTCGTGACAGCACGCAAAATGTGCTCTTGTCTCTCAATCCTCCTCACGTGCCTCTTGATCAGGAATCTTTAACCGCACATCTGCATCCCCAGCGAACCAATGGGAAGATAACAAACGTTTTCTCTTCATTTTCAGCATCTTTAAGATTCCTACAATTTTTTCCACCTTTTTCCGTGAGGATTTTCAAAAAATTTTGAGGTTATTAGGTTAGAAAATCAATGTTTCGTAAAATTCTGTATTTTTGTGTCAATTTTCTTACCATTTTTGACATAAACGAAAGAAAAATAAAGTTTCTATTCTATTTATAAAGAAAAATTGGCTGAAATCGCTGTTTTTATACATTTTTCCAGTCATAACCTCAAATAATACCGAGAAATTTTTAAGCATTTGCTAATGAAACCAAAATGGCGCAAAAACTGTTTCTTTAGACATAATTTTGTCACTAAATTTGTCCTAAATTAATCGCATAACCAAGAAAATCAAGGATTTATAATTTTAAAATACCACGCAATCTGTACACCGCATCAGACCACAACATTTCCCCCTTGAAGCGAGCTTTAGAGTGCAATAAATGAGCGATGAATGTTGCAAAGCTGTTGCCAGAAAATCAATTTGGAAATTGAGGCCCTTTGGGTGTGATTCTGTGAATTCCCCATGAATTACAACAGCAACCTTGTCGCATTGAAACTTATTGCATATTTATTTGCCTCATTGACCTTTGATGCCCTGCAACGCGCGTGCATTTTTCGGCATACAAATGGATTAAATGGTAGAAATATTACATGAAGAGATTTGCGGATTGATCGCAATTTTTTCCGGTTTGCAAATAGTTTTCTCCCATATTCATGTATAATGCAAATCTGGAATGACTAAAGAGCCTCAATTAATTCCCCCTGTGGTGAGGACAAGTGGCTGGGAAGTCTACCGGAACACACCAGCTGAGGTAATTCAGCTGTTCAGTAGCAAATTGTGCAATACTCGAGAGATTCGCCTGCAACAATCTTCGCTGCCTTCGCTGTGGGAAGTGCAAACAACTCGTATTTGTGGCAAAATTGATCGTGAGAAGAAAACGATTAGCGCAGTGTGTCTCTCTGGATTTCTCGAGGCTGTTGTTGTTGAGATGGGATCAGCGGAGACTTTCATGCTCCAAATGGTCGGAAGTACGTCAAGCATGAAGAGAAGCATGTGGTTGAACAGGCAAACGTGATGTATTGGCTGATTGTCTTTTGGGCAAATGCAAAAAGGAAGGACGCTCTCTCGCGCCATTTAGTGCCATTTTCGCACACACAGTGGACATGTGAATTAATTAGATCAACCGCGCGATATTGAGTCTCTCTTGTACTTCCCAATTGTTTGTCTATCTCTATTTATTTGTCTCGTACTCCCAATCAATTTGAACGGGCATTTTATTATAAGTCTTGTAGCACACAAGAGAGAAACACCTCTCGCGATGAAATGGAAAACTTTCACTGATCGTTTGGATTGGACGGGTGTTGTTTTATATGCGCACACATTGCAGGCGAAAGAAAAAAGAAGCCAAACGAGGTGATGATCAATTTTGAGGGCGATCGTATTGTTGTCTGAGTGGTAAAAAAATGCACAAAAGTGCAGTCTTGAGTGCATATTAATCGCGACATGGTCAAGGAGAAGCTTCATTGAGACACTTTCTTTCTTCACCAGAGTTCCTTACACTGTGGGTCAGACGTGTATCACATACGATGCCATCAATGCCGCCTATGTTGACGCCAGGAAGAGAATACGTGAGTAATTTCACAAGTCTAAGAATGATAATAGTCAACTCAACATTGCGGTGGTGGAAATTTGTGTTGCAGGACAGCATTATCGTAAATTTTTCGTGATAGGAAAATGCTGGTAAAATATGAATTATTAATGCAGAATTTTGCCTACAGTCTTTCAACTACTTTACAGTCTCTCCGCACTATCGATTTATGTGCAATAAATTGCTTGTAATTGTACTTAAATTTATTACAGTGTATTTCATACCTTTTTTTTCTCCTACTCCCCGCGTTACACTTATCAGAGAGACATTTTTCAAGTCACAGAGCTTGAATGATGTTTCTTTTTTCAATGCTGTTTTTTTTTCTATATAAACTTTCTTAAGCGACGACGCGTGCTTGAAATTTCAAATGAGTTCCTGGAAGCCAATAAAGTGTCGCGCTGTACAAAAGACTTCTTTTTAATTTCTTAAATGCTCCAAATAATTCACCTGCAGTGTCACTTTCAATCGTGTGACTTCTCTTCTCCTCTCCAATTGCCTGTGTTGTGTCTTTACATGGTAGAGAAAGATGATTTTTACATCTTTAATGCGTAATCTAATGAAAATCATATGTTCTAGAGACTTGTAGACTATCTTCTGCCCTTTCTAAAACACTATTAATTTTGAAAATCCGTTGGAAAACAGCGTTGTTATGAATATTTTAAGAATAAAATGCATAAGAAGACAGTTAACCATATTCAAAAGACTTTGTCAAAACACCTTATAAAACGCGTAAAGACGTGGTATAAGACAAATGATATGTTCTAAAGAGTTGTAGGCTAATAAGTCAGCTTTCCAAATCGCCATTGCTTTTGAAAATATGTCGAAAAATGGCACTTCTATCAGTGTTTTTATTAAAAAGTGCATATAAAGTCTGTTCTGGCATTTCTAGCCATAAATGTTAAATTATACCATCTTGCGACCATTTGTCAACTTTGATATGTTCTAGAGAATTGTAGGCGATGAAATTAGCTTTCCAAAACTGTGCCACTTACTGCGATTGTCGAAGCAGAACGTCTCAAATTGACACTTTGTTAAGATTGTGATTCCTCAAATTCTTTGCTGGAAATATCATTTGTAAAGAAAAGCATTTTATTACTGTATATGAAAGAATTGTCGAGGTTAAAATGTAATTAATCCAACCAACACTGCTCATGCCATCGGAGAGGAAAGAGAAGAGAGTGATGAGATTGGCAAAAGAAGTCGCTGGAAGTGACTGAAAGTGAAGAAAGATTACATTCTCCTTTTCCGCGGAAATGCATTCACTGAAGTGTGTGTCTGATATCATTTAATTCTAGACGTGTCGCAGCCCAAAGGTGACTGGAAGCCGGAAGATATTGCCACAGTTGGAGAATTACTTCTGGATATGTCCATTCAATTGGCTCGCACGTAAGTAAAACATACTCAAATCACTCCCACAATTGGCGCTCTCGTGCGAGAAATTCTCTCCCGCGCTTTATATGAAAAATCATGCAACAATTATTCCAGTGTCACACACAATCTTGGCAACAATGCCAAACATGCTCCGCAATGTCCAACATCACACGCAATCTTGAGGCTGGCGGTGAAATATCTTGACTTTTATGAATGAATTTTGCACTCCTTTTTGCCCACAACGAAATTCCCTCCCATTGTTTGCTAATTGAAAACGCCGCGAGTCTCCCAATTGCGAATTTATGATGAGCTGCAGTGCGCGTCTCTTGTGGCCAATCTTGGGCGCTTGATGAATTGAAAAATCATCGTGAGCATCTTGCAATGCTTGTGCGCCATTGTGAAATTGGCCAGGGTGAATAATTAGAATGCAATTTATCATGCTCTGGACCTGCAAAAAAAAACACAGCCAAGCGACAAAGAAAGATGTTGATTTGATCTTTGAGGTCTTCTCGTTGGGTGGATTTTGCCGTGCAATTGCATAACAACTTCTCTCCACTTGTTGCATGATGTGGAATTAATTGAATACACTAAAGACCCGGCGCGGGTTAAGAGGAGGAACAGTGGCACATCTTTCTTCTCCATTTACTGCTTTAATTTCTTGCGAATTTATGACGAGATTACAGATCAACTTCTCATAGCAATTTAGCCCCGCGAAAATCATAAATCTGAGCTGCAATTTTGCCATTTAGCCGAAGATTTTCCCGATAGATTTCTGTTTTGATATGACTTGCAATTACAAACCATAAATCATTAACCCAGCGAAAGAGACGCTCAAGATGCGTCAATTGATTGTTCAATTCTCTTTCTCTTCCTCACTTTTGTGCTGCTGAATTTTGCAATCATAATAGTGAAAACACAGATTCCATTCACTCATTTTCCATCCTACTTTTAATCATCATCATTTGGAGAGATAGAGAAAAATTGCGCCAATTCATCAACACTTGCCAAATACTCTCTAGGATATTATTTATTCATGCTTAATATACAGAATCTCGTGACTTGTCCTACATTAATGCTATTTAAGGGTGCAGTGAAGAAATACAAATGTTTTTTTTTATTATCTTTATCTATAACAACAACTTTTGCTATGTCAATTTTAATTTATATCCACGTTCAATTATCACCTCGCGATACCACTTCACAACGTAAAATTTCTATTAGTCAATTTGCCTAAATCCTTTGGCACATTTTATACTATAACTGTACATATGCAATTATGTTTTATACTTTCTTCTCTTCATCTTGTCAAATATCCTTTTTTTCTTTTCAATATACGCCACATATTTTCGGTGTGTGAAACATGCAATAAGTTCTCGACAAACGTTTTTCTTAGAGGAATAGGCATGATAATTCCAAAAAAGAGTCGAAGCTCATCATAATTAATTTAGGGTTACAATAGTGGTGTTATTATGGTAATTATTGTTGAGTAGGTGTCGTCATAGGAGCTGCTCTGTACAGTGAATTGATCCCCTTGATGGGCAGCGGATGGGCTTCCGTGTTGAACACCCACTCATCAAGTGGAATGAATGAGTCATCGGAAAATAGTAAATAGAGATACTGCAAAAGATAGACACGAAGCACAACATCAATATAGAATTCTACTTCTCATGAAAGAAACACACTCAAACTCTCGCCCCTTACTTTAAGCGTCTCCGCAAGGAAGAAACTCTGCTGCACATCATCCTTCTGTGGCTCCTCCATGTAGACATTCTTCACCCCTGAATATCCATTTGGAGTTCGGCAGTGCTTCTCCAGCGCCTGTACAGCTTCCCATCCCCAATCCCGATACTTTTGCTGATGCGTCAAGCGCCACATGACGAAGTAACTCTCAAAAGTCTCCGGCCGTAGAATATAGTACTTCTCTGATGTCTTCAGTGCCTTGGCTTCGGCCGCTTCGCTGAATCTAAACGATTCCGGACCCAATTTCGTCTGTGTCCGTATATAACTCTCATGGCAAGTATTTGTCAGTCCATGGGCAATTTCCATATACTTTGTCGACCACTCATTGGACAGTGTTTGTGACCCAAGGCCAAAGAGTCCTCCAGCGAAGCACGCCAAGTGATCCATTTTATGCTCCAATCGATCAAACTTCATATCCGACACATAAATCAAGCCATTCGGGCTCGTTCTAACCATATGCTCAATGATTGGCGGCATCGCCTCGTCAAACATGACACGCGCTTCCTGATCCTCACGACCAGATTGTATCCATGCTTTCAGCAGATACTCAAAGTAGCTGTCGCCTAAGGCACCCAGGGACATGTGATCTGGAAGAGAGCAACGCGTGATAATCCCCATTGGCGCACACTTATGTGTAAATCAACGCCATATTCTCACAAATTCACCTCCTTTCGAATGGATGCGAAAATATAGTGCAATTTTATCAATTATTATTGAATATCTATCAATCAAAGCACCGCTAAGCTCGCAAATAATGTGAATTCTCACACAAAACTTAATGTTTCTCTTCAAATTGCCTATAAACTGAGAAGAAAATCAGTAAATCGCGTGGAAAATCATGTTAAAAGTGAAGAAATTTGCGTGAAAATGTTCTTTAGGAGGAACAAAAATACTTTTACGGCAAGTTAACATGAGAAAATAACCACGAAAAGCATGAAAAATGCTGAAACTTTGAATTTTCTACATAGAATATGCAGAAATTTATTCTGTGTTATTTTCCATCCCTTCTTCGCCCATTTCAAAGGCGGTGAATGAGAATGCCATTGCTGAATTGTACGGTTAAAGCCAGATAAGTAAGTAAATTGACTGAAACTTACATTGTCCCCACTTTCCAGTCTTCGGATTGAGATAGTTGGGATACAATCCTTTGGGCTTCTCCAGCTCCCTGAGTACTTGACGCACATTCTGCACGCGCTCGCGATAAATCGGATTCCCCGTGATGTCACTCAAGTATGCAAACTCAAGATGAAGTGTCCCAAATTCTGACAAGATACTGCTTCCGCCGCTCGCCCAGCCATAATTCTTGCTCACCTGGAAGACAAACGGACGCGCGTGAAGAGGAGAATTTCTCACCACCCCTTCGATATAATCATTGACATACCCCAGTCTTAAGATTCACCAGCGCCAGAGGAATGCCCGTGGGTGTCTGGAAGGCTGGCAACAGCTTGTCAGCCACATGAACCGCCTTATCCCTGAACAGCGGATCCCCCGTGAGGGCATAGCAGGTCAATAATCCGCCCACGAAGCGAATATTCGTCTCAAATACTGAAATATCAACAGACTACCAACGCAAAAAAATACCACACATTAGCTCATCACTCTTTCCCCCCCTTGAAAATACAATACAACGGCATTTAAACTCACGACATTGTCAAAGGAGAATCGCCGCCTCAGCCACTCCCTGCCCTCCTCGAACTCCTCCTCAAGTCCCATAATGTACAGTGTGTCCAGGCCATCAATGATGGTGGCGCCGAAGTCAAAAGCCCCAAAAACACTGCCCGTGTGCGCTCGCTTCGATATCGGTCGCAATTCATTCTTCCCCCATGCAAATTGCTTGTAATTGTTCCACGCGAGAAGCATCATCTGGAAAATTGGAAAATGATTTACAACTCAAGCGCATCCGGCTTAATTACAGCGCTTTTAAATTAAATGCTTCCACAGCCAATAATATTTATACATATAGTAGCTCCAATTGCTGTGCATTAAATAAAACCCTCTGGAGCTGAGAGAATTCGTGGATTAAGTCAATTGATTTCCTAGAAATTCGACGCATTTTTTGACCTACACACAATCAACCAATTATACGCAGTGAATAGTGGAATTTGTGACACTTTATTGCAGAATTTTACTTATTAACTCTTTAATAACCTTATCATAAGGCCTTATCTTATCTTCAGGACTCATTATTAACGCTAAAATTAGATGAATTCCGAGTAACACAGTGTTAGAGACTGCTTTAACGACACTATCTTTGAGAAAACTCATTAGAAGACGTCGTTCATCACTTAATTCGTGCTGAAATGCACCCAAAAGAGACTCTCTGTATATTTTGCATAATTGTGAACAAGTTGAGAGTTAGGAATCTACACTGAATTCACTGAATTGGCGATGGAAATTAGTAGAGAAATGTGAAACTTTCAGAAAAATCTTCTTAATTTATGCAAATTCATCAATACACCTTTCCAATTCTCTTTGTGCAATTTATAATGGATTATAAGTGATATTTCTACTTTTGCCATTGATATAGCAATAAAAAAAAATTATTAGAAAGAAGACTTTTTAAGCAGTTTATGATTTAAAATCAAAACTACAAATTTCAAATTCTTTCGGGGTCACAGAATTTGATATTTCGTGAATTTTGGTTCTTTTCGCTTTGAAGTTATCGACACTTATCGATACAAATTCTTACTTTTTAACATCAAATTATGGGAATTCTTTGGGAAAGTAGTTAAAATCGACTTTCTAAGGGCTAAATAATCCATATCAGTCCTATTTTCCTCTAAAATTGTGTTAAAAAAAAGGAAATTGCACGCAATTTGTGTCGATAAGTGTCGGTAAATGTCGATAACTTCAATCACTTCAGCGCAGTGGGAAAACTCCCTTAGTTTCCAACTAAGGGAAAATTATTATAAGCAAGGAAATGCTTCTTGTTCACTTTGTTAAGGAATTCTTTACCCAAAACATCCTTAAGACATAAAAACAAGAAAGATTTCTAAAATAATATCAGAAAATACAGCAATTTTGCAGTCGCTAAAGGGTTAACACCACTCAAATTCCTCCCTTATAAATATTTGTGACATTCTTCAGACATCTGCCCAGGATTTAGTGCTTCCCGGATTTGTTTTCCAGAGTTACAAAGTAGCTTTTCATTCACCTTTCCACTCGGTGCACATGAAAAGTGTCTCAATTCCGCGCGATTTGCATTTTATCAGTGAGAAATAACCCGCACTGCTTCCGTGGTCGGGTCACTTAACTCGTCAACGAGTGTATAGGAGAAGATATAGACGAAAATACGTGGCGATTTTACCTGTTTCACTTTTTCCCTCTTTTCCCGGATCGATGAGTCGCTGTCTTGGCCGCTGTCGGGCCCGAATTTCAGCGTTGTCGTCACGGTTTTGTCCTCGTCGACGCCCCCGGAGAGGGGCCCCTCCTGCTGCACCCCATCGCCCAGAGACTTGTCCAGTGGCGGAGCCTTTTGCACCTCAGGGCGGTCGATTATGTCACCGATTTCGCCCTGAATCTTCGCCTGAAGCTTCTCCCTGTCATCGAGGAGATGTGGGTCAACGCCACCGTCACCCCTGAAGCCCTGCTGGGCGACGGGTGGGGCGGGTATGAAGATCTCTGGGCCGGCCTTCTGCAGCTGCTTGTACACACTGAACACACGATTGGAACTGAAGTTGTCCGGGAGGAAGAAGAGTCCGCAGAAGCACACCAAACAGAACGTGAGCAGGACCAAGATGACCAGCAATCTTTCACTGTTTCGGAACAATTTTCGCTGGAAGAGTGACGTTGCTGGCGTTGTGGTGGACCTCGAGTAGGTGGGAAGCATGGTTGAATAAGTTATATTACATTTTTTCACACGATACTTGGTAAAATTCTAATTGATAACTCGCGAACTCCGATTTTCACGTCCACTCGATGTGCAATGTCAATTCGCAACTGGCATGATAGCGTGCGTGGCAAAACTTTCCGTTCTGCGCCGCCGCGGCGCTGCCCATCGATGGCGGGAAGAATATGAATAAAAAACGTGTTCTGACAAACGGTATTCTCGCGCGGCTATCGCACAAAGAACGTGAAATGAGAGGAGAACGCTGGAGTGTTGTGGCTTTTGTACAGCAGCGAAAGCCAGGGTGTGGAGTATTCCGCTGTGTGCTCCACTTCACCAATGAGTGGCGCGAATATTCACTGCGTTTTGGCGACCGCGAAGACAAAGAGTCACTGTTCGGGCTGTTCTGTATGGATGCAGAAGAGAAATGTGCGTTACTTTGCTGGCATTCTGGATGGACATTCTGATTGGGAATGAAAGTAATTTGTAGGTAAATCAATCAGCGTTGAAGATGTCTTTTTCAGGCTCATTCTCAGCTTTATGCGGTGAAAAATTGCTCCAATTCATCACCTTGGGTATTTTAGCCGTGGAATTTATGGCAGGAGTGAGTGCTTTTCACAATATCTCGTTAGTCTGAAGGCTCGCCAGTCTTTCTCTTTGGGTGGATTTTGCCTCGTGCCAACGAGTAAATCATATGTGAGCTCCTGACATGCTCAAAGACATAAGATTGACTGTACTTGTCGCACCAGCTTCTTATGCAAATTTGTCTTTATTAATTTGAAGCAAATTATCCATGTCACAGATCAGTGATTATGCACGGTTTGCCTCCAATGAATACAAGTAGCTCACCGATTTTCATTGCAAATCTAATGGATCGCCGATGAATTTGCAATTTCGTGCCAATGCGCGCGCGGACTTTTGCCTCCGAATGCCAATTGCAAAAATTCTGCGCATTGTTGGACTTTCACTCCAGATTCACCGGGGCGCATTTTCACGTGTCTTAGCGAGATTTCATCCACAGCGCCATTTATCCAATTATCAATTCGAGATGCTGCCCGAGACAGGCGCTAAGAGTGGTGAAGATTTGAGGATTTATTCATGGTCTTATTGTGACTCTCAGCATATCAATATTTATGCTGCTGCACATGCAGTTTATCGCCACGAGGGCTTTAGGCCGCCTTTTCCCAATCAGAGTGGCGATTGGCGCAGATGAGAGATAAGATCGCCGCCAAGTTGTGCAATTAGCTGGTCACTAAGTGCAATTTTTACTGTCAAATTTGAGGGAGAGCGCAGCATAAATTAGATCTGGCGACTGGAATTACTTAAATGGAGATTTACGACTGCAAAATTACACACTTTTTCAGCCCAGAATCCAACATTACAGAGTGACATTAATGGAATTCGTGGTGGGAATTATGAATTCCACGTAAAATCTCTGGGCAAAATCTCCCTTATCATCCACCGTACAGCAACTCACGTGAGTGCGCGCGAAAGAGTGCGATTTTCATTAGAAACTCTGGGGCATTTCTTCGTGTTGGGTATCAAGATTGGGAACTGGATGCAATATTTAAACGCATGAAGCCGCGCGATCCAGTTCCAACCGCGTTTGCCAGTAAATAACATTTTAATTATGCAGTCAGCGCGTGAGAGACAAAAAAAAAACAGAGATGAGGAAAAATTCTCGTGCGACTTTCCGCCGATAGAAGAGAAGCCGCGCAGACTTCTTGGCATCTCCTTCTTGGGTGCTTTTGCCACAGAGAGTCTCTCTCGAGAGTCTCACAGATTGTTGGAGGTGAAAATGCGCGCGGCATTTGAATGGGGGAGAAGAGAATTTGCGCGTGTTTGGAAAGTTTGTGACGCGAGTGCAAAAAAGAAATTCCCATGCAAAAAAAAATAAAAATCGCGCGCACTTCATCTGGGCGGAAATGTGCAAACGAGAGTGAGAAAAGGTCATTGGAGCCATTTGTTCCAATCTCAAATTACTTTCCCTCTCGCGCAATTTCCGACAAAAGGCGCCCAAAAGATGGAAAAACTCGCGTGATACTGCCGTGTTTGTTTTGGCGGAATAATTAACACACTCACGGAGACGATTATGTGACTTTTTACCACACTTGAATGTGAGTCAAGAGTGTCAAGAGCATCTCCGAATCCACTTGCATTATTTAAACTACAGTAAATTGTGTAAAATTCATAAGGAAAAATAATTAATAAATTATTAGTGATTTGTTGATTTATGGATGAATTCCCATTAAAACAGAGGAATGTTAAGGATGTGCTGTATGAGATTAAAACAGTCTTTAGTACTCTTAATCACACAATCTTTATAGAGACGATTGTGTTAAAAATTCCATCAAATTTAGTACTGAATTAAAAGAGATTTGCAATTCTGGTTTATTTATTCATGAATTTGTTACTTTAAAACGATTTTCATATTCTTTTCCAAAAGATATCAAATGGCATTCAATGCAGTCAATTTCAGTACAATTTAATGAATTATTTACTTAACTAATTCGCTCTTTACAGCTTTATATATGCCATAACATTATAGTCTGAGAAATTATATTATTACAATGTTGCAGACGTAATTTTATGGTCATTCGACCCAAATTGTGGCAAAATGTGGGAAAATAATAAATGTCTCACTGCTCAAGCTTCGCTCTTGAGCTCCATAAAAGCCAACACAACAAGTAATTTCAATAAAGATAATCTCATAGGTAGCATAAATCCACCCAATAAACAATTGACTTTCGCTCTAAAGTTTTTACTGGAAATTGTTAATAGATAGACGGAAAAGTTTCGTCATCCCCTGTTGATGATCCTCTCACTGGTTTTGTCATCTCTTTTGTGTGTGTGTTTTTCTTCGCCAATTTGTCGCGAAATTGCGTCGCGATCTTTGTACAAGAATGCGCGGCAATTTGGAGATGCGTACAAATAACGACTATTTGATACATTGTTGCGATTTGTTCGGAGCCCATTAGGCAAAAAAGTGAGAGTTTCCCCCTCGACATTCATTACAATTTCTTCTCGTCTCAAACACATCATTTTCAATTTAATACCGTAATTGTCCTACGCGTCACGTGGACTTGCGGTGTCAGCGGCAATTAGCTCGGCGCGGAGGCACGAAAAAAAGCACATGCGCCAAGCCAATTGACGCGAGATGATGACCATCGCGCGATGGGGACAAAAATGAGCATTGAGATGAGGTAATTTATGGGTGTTATTACAAGAAGTGATCTGAGGAGAGAGATATTTTCTCAGGCGCGATCAATTTTCTCTCGCCTTTTCATCAGAAATGAAGTGGTGGAACTGCGCTCTCATATCAAGTGTCTGAATCGGCAATTTGCCCCCTTTTTATCCGCCACCTCGACACTTAATTGAGCCGTTTTGCTATTTGCATGTTTTGTCTGCGGGATGATGCAACAGATCTCCGCGTGAGGAATTCCAAATTGCCCACGTGCCGCATTCTCAGCATTCTTTGCCTCTCTCCGCAGGTACGGACTCTCCTATGAGGACATCGAGAAGGGCTTGCCGCACATCGACACGTCCAAGACGCTCGTGCGCGACGTCTGTCCGCCCTTCCTGTCCGGCGTGGAGTGTCGTCCGGGCAAGTATCGGCGCTTCGACGGGCTGTGCAACAATCTGGACAATCCCACGTGGGGTGCCGCCAACACACCCTTCCAGCGCCTCGTGGGGCCCCTCTATTCGGACGGCATCAACGCGCCCAGGATCAGCGTGACGGGACACGAGCTGCCCTACTCGCGCGTCGTGTCCAGAACCATGCATCCGGACGACGGCTTCCACGATCACGCCGGCACGGTGATGGTGATCGCTTGGGGACAATTCATGGATCATGATTTCACACTCACGGCCACACCACTGGGTGAGTTGAGTAACTTCCTGAGCCGCGCTTTCAGGCCGCGCGCGCTCAATGGGATTATTTATGACGCGATCGCATTCGATCGAGCGCGAGATCATGGTCGGAGATGAGGCGCTTTTCTCCCCGGAAGTGAGGGAGTATTTTGTGATTTATCGACTGGATTTGTGCGCTTTTTTTATCACCCAAACAATGACCAAAAAGAAAAAAAAATCATTAATCTGACTCAAGCTATTAAGACGTTCTGTAAGTGACTTTGTCATTATGGGGCTTTTGTGGAATTTTCTTGGGTGATTATAAAATTTTTCAACTCACCAGACGTGCGTTAAGTAAACTGGAAGAATTTTCTTTATCGGGAAATTTCCATAACATGTTCATGAATCGCTTCATTCTAATATTTCGCAAGATCTAATTAGTGTTTTATCCACTTTTATTTAATACTGATAATTAACTATGAATATATCCCGTGGAAATGACTGGCAATTTGCGCGCTTGACTGTTTGATGAAACGTCTCTGGACAAAATATTGCGGTGCTGAAAATATTGTTCCTGCATCTTGACACTATAATTGCCCTTTCAGGTTTTCATGCCTCCTCTCAATATAATAATACCGAAATGTCTCTATTAATGCGCTCCTTGAGAAACCCATTTGCCATCAGTAATACTTGCTCTGTGTGTGTGTCTGTCTTTTTTCTCAATCGAGCGCACTCTCGAGAAATTAGAGAGCAATTTTCCCGCGCGAATGTTGTGGCTCTCGCAATAAAAGACTTGGGGGTATTTTATCATCCAGTGTCGCGCAATGATGCAAATCCCACGGAGGGTTAATCGTTGGCCATTGCGTTAGGCATTCTTGCATATACAATTTCCAATTGATTTACTCTCGCGTGCTGGCGAGTGAAATTCAGCTGTGTTGCGACATTCACGAAATTTGCATTCATCGCCATCAGATCCGATCAATCGCAATGATCCCGAGGAGTGCTGCAAGCGACCGCCGCACCTCAAGCATCCCTACTGCAATGAGATCCGCGTCCCCGACGACGACTACTTCTACCGTCTGTTCAACGTGAAGTGCATCGACTTCGTCCGGGGCTTCCCGTCGCCCAGACCAGGATGCAGACTGGGCTCCAGGCAGCAATTCAACACGCTTACCGGCGTCATTGACGGCAACACAGTTTACGGCGTAACGGAGAAGTTTGCCAGGAAATTGCGAGCAGGATTTGGCGGGCTGATGCGCATGAATCCGGTGTTTGCCGAGTACGGACTGAAGGACATGCTGCCGCTGAAGCTGGACATCCCGGACGAGGGATGCACGAGGCCCAACAAGAGCATGTTCTGCTTCGAGGCCGGAGAGATTCGAGTCAATGAGCAGCTCGTCCTCACCTGCATGCACACTCTCATGGCCAGGCAGCACAACAAGCTCGCCACGGAATTGGCTCAGATCAATCCTCACTGGGACGACGAGACACTTTTCCAGGTGAGTTAGGCGAGAGCCAAGGGGGAGATATTGTGGTCAGAAGAGGTTTTGAAGACTAAATAACATCTTATTTCTTGAATTGTGAATTTTCATTCAATGAAAATCGCGATTTTAGTGCTAAAATTAAACATAACCTCAAAATTTCCACTCAACAATAGCGTAATTTCAATATTATGCAATATTATTCAGAAATCATATCTAAAAGATATCAAAAAGTGCAATGAAAAACATAAAATCTTAAAATAATGTCTGAAAACCTCAGTTATTAAGTTGTGAGTTAGATTCTAGTTAGATTTTGGTCATTTTTCAGTCGTATAACCATTTTCATGATTTCTATTCATCTCTTCTCCAGGAATCGCGACGCATCAATATCGCCATCATCCAGCACATCACTTTCAATGAGTTCCTGCCGATTCTGCTGGGCAAGGAGGTGATGGAGAAGTTCGGTTTGGTGCTGGAGAAGGAGGGCTATTGGGATGGCTATGATAATCACATCAATCCGGCCATCATTGACGCCTTCGCGGCTGCCGCCTTCCGCTTCGGTCACTCTTTGCTGCCCACAGCCGTCGAGCGCTGGTCCAAGGCGCACAAGTTCATCGCCTCGAAGCGTCTGTCCGACCTCATTCGTCGTCCCTACGATCTGTACCGCGCCGGAGTGTTTGACGAGTACTTCATGGGACTGATGAATCAGGTGGCGCAGGCGATGGACGACTCCATCACGCAGGAGGTGACGAATCATCTGTTCAAGAAGGAGGGCAATCGCTTCGGCATGGATCTGGTGTCGTTCAACATGCAGCGCGGCAGGGAATTCGGACTGCCCGGATATATGGAGTTCAGGAAGTTCTGTGGCCTGCCGACGTCCCACACGTGGGAGGAGATGTTCGGCTCGATGCCCAATGACACAATTCGCCGATACGAGAGCATTTTCCAGTGAGTATTAGGAGCTGTGATAGTTATCATTGATCGTGTTCAGTTTCTATTTAATAAGATATAGTAATTTATCACATCAATATCAATATTATAATCACATTTATTTCATTATTAACCAGCACTTAATGGGCCATAGAGGGAAAATCAATCATTCTGGCGCGCTAATCATCACCATTAAGTTTAATTAAGTACTCAAGTTGATGATCTTTTTTGTGCGCTGCCACGAAGAGGAATTTACAAATTGACACCACATTAATGGGAATATTTATAATGCAATCTCCTGGCACACTGTAAATAATAATGAGAGTGTGATCAGTGATCCTCAACTTGTGCTCTCCCCCTTGGCATTTTCTCAAGCCCCAGAGAAATTCATACACTCTCAAAATGATCAATTTTCTTCAATTGTGAAACATTGTTTCACGTGAATTGGCGAATGAGACAGAAATTGGCTGAAAAGTCGTTGATCTTTCGTGTGATCTCTCCCTGGCGCACACAGATTGCCATCATTAAGCAATGCACCCATGAGATCATGTGTCACCACAAATCCTCCGCGATCATTTATCATTTTTGCGGTTGGATTCATTGAGTAACACGGAGGATCAGCGCGTGATCAATGATACATTCTGGCCCATTGTTCTCGTGTTGATTTCACATGGCAAATTCCCTCCATTTATCGCACTTCACACCTGACCCACCGCCGATGTCTTTTGTCGTCAATTAGGCATCCTGCTGACATTGATTTATGGTCCGGCGGCGTCTCCGAGAGATCACTGCCTGGCTCCATGCTCGGGCCCACCTTCGCTTGCGTCATCGCCACACAGCTGAGCTACTTGCGGCGCGGCGACCGCTTCTGGTACGAATTGCCAAATCAGCCGTCGTCCTTCACGCCGGAGCAACTGCAGGAGATCAGGAAGATCAAGCTGTCGCGCCTGATCTGCGACAACACCGATCTCATCGACACCATCCAGATCTACCCAATGGTTCTGCCTGACCATGAGATGTGAGCTCACCAGCGCAATCATCTCCTCTGCAACGGTTTTAACCTTGTTCTTGTACTCTTGCAGAAACCCCCGAGTGCCATGCAAGAGTGGAATTATTCCATCAATCGACCTGACCAAGTGGGCAGACTATGGACATTCATCAGACTACTCACCTCATCAATATGTAAGACAAATGCTCTCTTTACCCGCAAGAATTGTTGCGGAATTTGATTGATTGTCTTTCCTTTGCGCCTTTCTTTGCCCAATGCCTCTGAAAATGATGGATTTGCTCTCGCAGAAACTTTTACTTTTCGTTTTTCACTCAAAAACTGTATGATAAATACAACGTCAGGAAAGATAAATTAATATTTTTCACTTCTACAACTGAAACATAAGTTTTAATTTGGTTTTTCTAAAGAATCCACTTGAAAATCTTCTTTTTGGGTATTTTTCCGGCCCTAACCTCAAAAATATCATGAAAAAAACCATTTAATTGTGCAAAATTAGTTTTTTTGATTTAATAACAGACTCAAAATGGCCGATTTTAGATCTAAACCCGGCCAGAAAGTTTTCTAATTGACATATTCTAAGTTTTTAATATTATTTTTGAGGTTATGTCAGATTTTAGCACGATTTGCAATATTTTTGTCTGAAAGATGAGAAGACAATGTTTTTGGAGCCTAGAAAGGCATTAAGAAGGACTTTTCTTTAGCTGTAATTTAGATGAAACGTCCATTTAGACGATTGAGCCATAATATCTCCCCCTTGATTGGTCTGATTTTAACAAATGTGTTTGTCTTTGCAGCAATATTTCAATGAGCTTCACGATACCGTGGTAAGCTTCAAGAAGTAAAACCCATAGCACGATCCAACCCAGCACAGAGACACACAAAATGTATAAAGAGAAAGGCCCGGTGCACCAAATTCTGTACAAAACTCCCCCAGTTTTGCCCTGAGGAATTGTGGTTGAGCGGATTTGATGGCGTTGTGATTGGGTTCTTTTTGGCGTTTGAGGGCACCAAAAATGGGCAACGGAGCTTCCATGTGAAGTGCGATTTCCCTGTAAATTCCACGGAGATTTTCCCCCCCAAAATCCTTTTTCATTTAATTTTATAGACATTCACTCATTCGACAGTTAATGCATTTTTTTTTGTAATTATTTATTTCTCCTATTATTTCTTCATTTTGCCATTTTTTTACGTCTCTTTTTGATTTAACTGATAAAAAGAAGTAGCATTTATGGAATGACAATTTGTGGGTGGTGTAAAGTAGATTTTCTTTTTTCGATAATTGACACCCTTTAGATTTGTAGTTTTACGCATTTTCCTTTCACACTGTTTCTTCCTTTTTTTTCCTTTTGTACAGAAAGTTTATGTATTTTTTACACTATGTAGTTGGAGTTAATTTTTTCAGCATGCGAAATCACCCTTCTTTCTTCCTATAAACTTTCCTCCATTATGTTTGAGACATGAAAAAATCCCCTGTATAAATGTATTATTTGTCCAAATGTACATGAAAGATTTTGTAAATATAAATAAATGTGAGAGAAGTGAGTAAATTTCGCCCGCAGAGTAGCTAAGATAAATGGGAAATCTTTCAATTTAGCCATTCTATGCCAACAATTACCTGAGTTTCAAGCGGAAGAAGCGCAGCGCCGACATGGAGGGTGATGAGTATCACCTGTACACTGTCTACGGCCCACCCAGTGTCCGGAACAGCACGAGGAGCAAGCCTGGGCGGCGGAAGAAGGTGTCCAGCACCATCACAGAGGCGCCCAAGGAGGCGCTCGAGGCGGCGGAGCTCGCCAATGATGAGTTCTTCTTCAGGAACATGCGACGACCACCGAAGAAGGACAAGAGGATCCGCGATCAGGTGGAGGTGTTCAGCGAGGGCGCCCAGGAGGACAAGACGGATGAGGATCCGGGCAAGATTGAGGCGAATTCCAAGGAATCCGTTGGGGATTTCTTCAAGAATGCCGACAAGGGCTTCATGGCGGAGTTCGAGAAGCACTTCCACCACAACAGCCGCCTGCTGGAGGCCCAACACGAGGACTCCTCGCCCGAGGAGGACGCCAAGAAGTGGGTGGATGAGGTGAGGAGTCGCGACATCATCACAGACTTCAGTGATCGCATCAACAAGAGGATAAATCAGCGTCACGCCAGGCAGAAATTTCCCAAATATCAATCATCAAATTTCACTCATTTGTAAGAAAGTGATCCGCTCATCAATAAATTGGCAAAGACTTTTGTGTCCCAGGAGAAAAGCTTCTTCTTCTTTTTTTCTGATACTGATTAACTGCGGCCAATGCTGCACAAAACATGGTTATTTATTGCATATACAACAACATAAAAAATCTCACGGTACAGGTAAAGAGTAAATAATACCAACAAAGAGCGATGTGTCGGCAAAATAGGAACTTTCATAAAAATTTCTTATGCACGCGGCGCGTAAAAACGGCCCATGACTAATGCACATCATTGAGATGATCGTGACCTGAATAAATAATCTTATTAGGGAATGACGCGCTGAGAAGATGGCACAGAATGGGGCAGTCCGAGAGAACTCTCTTGGCGGCTGCTTAGTCCAATTTGGTGAGGAAGGGCGCAATGGAGCCAATGTCCTCGCAGTCCGGTATGATTTTCCCCTTGAACTTTACACACGCATCCGCACACATTTGTCCCTCGAAGTACGAGCCGAACATCTTCTTGCATTGAGCACAGTTTCTTATGCAAACGCCAATGAAGTCATAACTCCCCATCACATCTGCATCACACAGAGAGAGAAAAAGAGAGAAGAAGATGGCTTTTAGAGACACTCTCTGCTCCTCATCCGGGTTTTTCAGTCATGCTAAAAATTCACCGCGCGCCGCTCATTGAAGTGCGATTTTCGCGGAAGGCGAAAATCAGGGATTTTTCTAATCCACTCTCAATGATTCTTTTTGCCATCTTGAGAGCATCAATGGAGGCGCCTGGTGAAAGCTCACTCATTTCGCAAATAATCAGAGCTTTCCTGCCACACACTTATCAAATGGTTTTCAACATCACATGGTCAATATCAACATATTAGCATGATTAATCCGTATATTTTTGGATAAAGAGTCAAATTTTTCTAGGAAAATATGAGCTTAAATTCAGAATGAATTGACATCATAATATTGCAGTGTAATTTCCATTCAGAATCAGGAATTTACTATAATGAACAAGCTCGTGCAAAAAAGAAAATTTCCATAAATTATGCTTTTCCAAGGGGGATATAATTTGCTTACAATCAACAATATTTTGATAATTTTGTCTTGAAAATCGACTGAAAACTAACTATTAACTGATAACGATTATTGTTTATCAATCAGAGTATTTCAAGCTCAAGATTGCAATTGTTAGCTTGAAAAATTGAGGTTATGTTTGGTTTTAATCTGTCTTTTATCACTCAATTTCCAAAATAATGATCTTCATTGAGTGCAAATGCGCAATTCTACTCAAAAAAGTAACAAATTTCAATTGGAAGATGTTTTTTATTTTTTAATTTATGACATAACCTAAAAAAATATGTTAATCGATATTAAATCAAAGCAGTGAAGTCAAAGCTCTTGGATTATTGCTACTCTTTTAGCATTTCTAGCACAACTGAACGATAAAAAGCAAAACACAATATATTTCGGCAAATAAAAGAGGAAAAAACAACAATTACCATACTTCTTACCAATCGTTGGAGTTGCAAAGATTTGCTCACTCAACACGGCCATCAGGATGCCCAGCGTCAGGAGGAAAAGGAATCTGTTTTCGCTCATTTTGCTGCGTCGCTTCGCTCTGAACTACAAGATAAATCCAACAACAAGAGAGGCGTTTAGGCAGAAATTCCTCCAGATCGACACTCACTGGATGTCTTTTAGCGCGCGCTTCTTGTGTGGGGACACTTTGAGATCTGCACAGGTGGAAAGCTCAGTTGGAACTGCGAGACTTCCATTGCCTCAGTCACAATTTGGCATCAATATTTATGCCTTTCTCGCGGGCACGCATTTTCTGCGGCAAAATGGCAAAGCACGCGAGAGTCTCTGGCCTGGCGAGAGAGTCCCCACCACAGAGCCTCCAGCACGAGGCGCCCAGGCATAAAAGCTCTCGCGACAGACACACGGTCTGTTGTGGAAGTGTGCAGAGAGGCAGATAGAAATCGTTTTACAGTAAACTTTCCGGTGATCCGCCCAAGGACTACAACGTTGTGGCGACGCCGTTAAAAGAGAGCGCAAATATGTGCAAAAAATGTATTAAATATTCACTCTGCGAAATCACCTTCCGGAAGATGCCATGACAAAGCCACCCGAGCACAGGAGGAAGACTCGCAATGATCTCAGCATCGCACCCACGCCCGTCGCGTTCTCTCTCGTAACGGGGATTTTTCTCAGTGCATCAACACTTGATCCGGAAGTTGCGAGAGAGCTTGATCGACCGAAACTCCGGCGCGAGTCATTGCCATGATCAAGGTGACTTTTTGGCGTACAGCGCTTCAGAGCTTTCTGCGACACACGCCAAGGGGAGTGCAATTGGGGAGTTTTCAGGCCCAAAAGTCCAATAAAATTTCAATTTGCATTGAACACACGTTTCAAAGTTCTAATCTTATAATGAATTCATCCAGTTTACATTCGATATTCTTCTAAGAACCCCCAAAAATACTCTTAAAAACACTTATGATCATTTATTTCGATCATAACCTAAAAATATTATAGGGAAATACTTGAAAAATTAATTTAAGATCAAATATATGAGAATTTTTCTTTATTTTTTAGTTATTAAATTCAAAATTGCTGATTTTGTATCTCAAAACAGCTTTAAAATTTCCCGAAATTCTATTTTTAAGGTTATGTGCACATGTTGCAAACAAATTAAATCACATAACCTAGAAAAGCATTAATATGAATTTTATTAAGTACAGAATCTTAAAAAAAAAGTTATTTAATAGAAAAACTAAGAAAAGCATAGAAGGCAATATTGTAAATATTTCCGCTTTTTAACACTGTTCGCCAGTTCTGACCATGATATCTCCCCCTTGGACATGATTTCGTTCACCCCTTCGGTCAAATATGCAACAAAACCTCGCGACTTGCCAGCCCCTCGGATGCTTCAGTGCGTCCGGAAGATCTCTCCCAGCCGCTCTGCGGGGTGAATGAATCGCGAACGAGGGTCAGGTGAGAAATGTAAACACTGCGTTTCTCAGGCGACTCTTAAAAACCATTCCAAAGATTTTTCAAATAAATCATTTTGGCGTACTTGAAGATAGTTTCCGGACACTGTCTTGGGACTTTTATGACCACTTTTGCACCTCGTCACCACTTTTACGCACGTTACCAGTTGCTGGAAGTCCACTGAAGCTTTGGCGTGCGAACAGTATCGTTTTATACAAAAGTGTTAAAGGCGGCGACTGAGGAGTGTGTGGAAATGCAATCAGTCTCCGGAATTAATTTGATTTGCGGCCATTTCCTCCTAATGGATGCATTACTCTGCGGGTTTTTCCCATCAGTGGGGAAGCTTGGAAGGCGTTGACATCGATAATTTGATCAGATTGATGGAAATTATACATTTCCCGAGTGAAAATTGGGATTTACAATAATCACTTTTCAAACTCACCGTCGCTAAAAGCTCGCAATGCTGTGAGTTTTTGGCGGGGAAACTGTTAGTGTTGCCAGATGATTTCCCATAATCGCGAGCGCCCTCGGTGACCTCTGCGAGAGTTCTGAGATTAGTATGTTTTGCTCACAGTGACGTGGATTTCTCTCCGGGAATGCTGAATCTTCTGGGCACCGTGAAGAACTACCACTGGGGCAAGCGGGCGCCCCAGTCCCTGGTCTATCAGCTGGCGGAGCTGAACTGTCCGCCAGACAAGGAGCTGGACGAGAAAGATGCCTACGCTGAGCTCTGGATGGGGAATCACGTCATGGATCCCTCACTGGTCAAGGATACTCTGCAGCCGCTGGGAGAGTATCTCTCACAGCAGCCCACGGAGGTCGTTGGCGACACAAGAGACTTGCCATTCCTGCTGAAAGTGCTGAGCATCGAGACAGCGCTGAGTATTCAAGTGCATCCCAACAAGAAGGAAGCCGAGGAGCTCCACAAAATCTTCCCGGACGTCTACAAGGATGACAATCACAAGCCCGAGATGTCAATAGCGCTGACTCCCTTCCTGGCGCTCTGTGGATTTCGTCCTGTTGCGGAAATTGTGGGTTTTCTGAAGAAATTCCCAGCAGTCGCTGACCTTCTCGGGCGGGAAAACGTCCAGAAGCTGGAAGCTGATGTTGGGAAGATGGATCATTCTGAAGGCCTGAAGGCCTGTTTCACGAGATTAATGCAATCATCACTAGAAGAAATCGAAACCACGCTGCAAAAGACTAAGAGCCAACTTGAAGCTGTCCTGGACAGAGATGATCTCCTCTTGAAGACATTCCTCACCCTCTTGCGCGACTTCCCAGGCGACGTGGGTGTTCTCACAGTCTTCCTCCTGCACATTGTCCAGCTGAAGCCTGGCGAGGCGATGTTCATCTCAGCGAATGAGCCTCACGCTTACATTTCCGGGGATTGCATCGAATGCATGGCTTGCTCGGACAATGTGATCCGTGCAGGACTCACGCCCAAGCCCAAGGACATTCCCACGCTCATCAGGATGCTGAAATATCAGCCACAATCGCTGGCCGCCAAGATCTTCCCATCCCAGAAACTCAACGGAGACGAATTTGTGGACGTTTTCTCGCCTCCGGTGCCTGATTTCGCTGTCATCAGGTACAGAATCCCTTCGGGTGTGACGAGTCACAGTGTGAAGCTGCCCCAGAGGGGATCTGTGATGCTGGTGTTGTCTGGCGAAGCCAAATTGCAGAGCTCCAAAGGTTCGGGACTCGCCGTGAAGCGAGGATCTGTGGTTTTCCTGCCGGGAAATGCGGGAGAGACGCTCAATATCAACCTGGAGGCTTCTGGAGTGCCATTTGAGGCTTATCAAGCAATGTATAACGATTTTTGATGGTGTAAATAAAAATATTGTGATGGTAAACAAAAGTTGGGCATTTTGGATCCTTCGCATAGCATTTTTTCGCAGATATTGCGACCAGAAGAAGAAGGAATTTTGCTTTATTGTAAGAATACGGCATCAATAACTGTTTTCCGATTAATGTGAGATGGAAATAGTGATTATCTCTCTATTATCTTGTTGAAGCATTCTGAAATGAGAGGATGAAAGAGGATTTTGTGAGGAATTCCTGGAATTCCAATGGTTTTTCTGAGAATCTCGCGCGTTGCGGCGAAGAGCGGCGAATAACATCGCCAGCAGCGGCGATGTCATTGTGACGTGGCGAAAAAACATCGCTCGAGAGTTTCATCGCGTCACTGTGGCAATTTGGTCGAAGTGGTGTTTTTGTGCGTGAAAAATCGCGAATTTTCCAGCTTTTCCACACACTTTTCCGCCCGTGCGTGTCCGCAAAGTGTGCACGAGTGCCTTGCCCGCGTGCTGGCGTGGATGTTTGCTGTGTGTTGGCGGTGGAAAGTGGGAAAAAGTGCGCTCAGCATTCGGGTGTGTCACCCATCGTCGTCGGCCTGGGAAGCTCCTCAGCACCACATCCGCAGTCTCTCACGTCAGTCGGAGACAAGCAGCGGCCGAGTGAGAGTCACAGTCCGTCTCGTCGTCTCCAGTGTGTGTGGCCCCCATTTGGCTCTTCTCCAGTGCTCCGCAGCCGCTCGGGCAGTGTGATGCCACGGGCGTGAGCCGTGTGCCAAAAAGTGGTGCTCCGTGAGCTGTGCCAGTGCTTCTCCGGGTGTCTCGATCCGCGAGTGGGACGCGTGAATCATGTTCAAGTGCATTCCAATCTTCAAGGGCTGCAATCGGCAGATTGAGTTCGTCGACAAGCGCCACTGCTCCCTGCCCAATGTCCCCGAGGAGATCCTCCGCTACTCGCGGAGCCTCGAGGAGCTCCTCCTCGACGCCAATCACATCAAGGATCTGCCCAAGGTGAGTTCCGTCGCATTCCATCGCACTGATGTCATCCGCACACACCCTCTCTTCCCCGGACTTCCCACTCCCGGACGCTCGCGCGCCCAAAACCCAATGCAAAACCCCCAGAAAGAGCGTGGAAAGCGGGAGAACGGGAGAGAAGTCTCGTGATTTGGCGAGAATTTGAATGACTTTTCGGGATGGCAAAACCGTTTCGACGTGGAATTGTTGTTTGCTCGCGAATCTCGCGTGGAATACTTTGATTTTTACTTCGGTTTCGCCTCAAGTGAGCTTTTGAGAGATTCTCAAGCGACTCAATCTTGAGCAACACGATAACATTACGCTGGAATTCCACATATTGCCTTATCGTATTTGCCTTAGATATCGATTATAGGAATACAATTATGAAGTAAAATGCGTGATTCTGAAATGTTTTGGTCATTTTATTAGCCCAAAATGGGCATTTTGAACTACAGAATAAGAAATCGCTTTAATTGCCGATGAAATGTTAATGAAAACACATTTTCCAATGTGCAGAAAAATCCAATTTAAGGGTCAAAATGCTCTTTATGAGCGTGGAAATGAAATTCATGACCAACGATTGACCTGACTGAAATCAAAATGAAAATACGCGATAAGATCTTGGGTTAGCCTTAACCCTACTTAGATAAAATCGCTTGAACAGGATTCTTTATTACGACAATTTCACACCTTGAGAGATTCTATGGTTATTATCTTAATTGTAGTTGATTCATTGGATTCATTAGTCCGAATGTCACGCATTTATCAGCACATTTTCTTGGTGAGTGAGATTAGAAAATCTCAAATAGATAAAAATGTGTAATCGTCAAAGAAAACCACCCATAATTTATTTTTCACTCTCTGGATAGTTTAGCGAGGTTAATTTTTTGTGTTGAGGGGAGAATGTTTTGCTCGATAAAATGTTTGTGAAGCAATTTATTTCCAAAACACACCAAATGCTGACTCTCCCCTATATTGACATAATCTTTCCACGTGGATCACAATGGGGCAATGATTGTGACAAGGGAGCGCACATGGAGGGATATTTAGTCGATTTTTACTGTTTATTTGTGGTGCAATTTTTGCCCAGACATCAAAACTCTGCCCACATTTTCCTCATTTTTCTGTGTTCGGCCTTTCTTCTCGCTGTCACACTTGCTAATTAGGCTGCGGGAGAGATTGGCTGGGCAGACACACAAAGGTTTATGGCTGAAATGGGCGGTTTTTTCTCTCCTCTTCTTGGTTGGAAAATCACATTTGGCCTAATCGAGTAATTATTTCTCTTTTATGAATTATTTAGATGAGTCCATGAGACAATTGCTGTGGATGGAAATTCTGCTCATCAAAATTTCCATCCCCCTTCAATTACTCCGTCAACCCATGCGAATTTTTCAGGGGGTTGTGAAGTCACTGGAGATAATTAATCAATGTGTGCTAATAATTCTCTCTCGGGGGTTAAATTGGCGGTGGCGCACAGGAAAAATTTCGACTCGGACATGCGGGAAGGTCGAAATTTTGTGTGGCACAGCCTTGAATTATGTATTGGCGCTTCGTTTAATTACAGTGGCAAAGACGAAATATTGCCATTGTCTTGGGGGTATATTTGGTCGTTCTTCTTTCTTGTTTACTCTCGTGATAGCACAACGAGGGGTGGTTGATAAATGTATATGCATATGAATCAGTCTCTCTTGTTCTATTAACACTAGAAATGTGCTGAACATGGAATTTCACTCAAATCAATTCTGATTCGATTGAATATTCAGACTTCATTAAGTACGCTTTTGAGAGGAAATTTGCTAAATTTTGACGGAAATATAGCAAAATTAATATAGAAACAGAAAATATTGTGCTTAAAAGTTGATTTAAAATACATTTTGCGTATATTTTACACAAATAATTTGTAAAAAATCAATTTTTAATACTTTTTATCAAAGTTCTGTATGGAAGAAGTTAAAAAAAATTTCATATTTTCTTATTTTAAGTCTTTTAAGAACAAAAATTTTAGACAAAAACCTGTAAATCTAATTTTTTTCTGTTTCCTCATAATATACAAATCTTAAATTTTAAAAGCTACTCAAAAATATTTCAGCAAAGCTTGAAATTTAAATTTTTGCCACAATGGCCACAAAGTGCTTTCTAGTGTTAAAGGCGGAAATGTTGAATTGACTCAAAGAAGAAGAAAAAGGGTTCTTTTTTTACACACATTTTTGCGTCGGGGCCAAACTGTGACTTGAGCCTTGGATTTTCAATTACAATGAAGTGTCTCTGTGCTGTTCTGCATTATCCTGCTGGTTTGTGTCTGCTTGTGATGTGGCAGACGCCACAGGGCGGGTGGGTTTTTGGGCGGGTGGGGTTGAACTAGACAAAGCCACCCACTGCCAAACAGGGCAATTCACTTCATCGCCTCGATGATTGTACTGCGGATCCTTGCTGTGGAGCAGCAGCAGCAGCAGGTTCCTTTGCTGGGCGGGCGCTGCGGGGGGAGGGAGAGAGGGTGGGTGGCCCAATGGTTAAGTGGTTGCCATGCTGTGTGTGTTTGTAGAGCGCTCGCTCTTCCCCAATGGCAAGTTTGGCGCGCGAGGGTGGATCGATTTGAAGAAGTGTCGTCACACAGCGAATCTCACACTCAATTTCTCTCTCAACAGTGCTGATCCAATTGGTGGGAACTGCCAATGGATTGTCAAATGGTTGAATATTTTAATGGTGAGAATTGAGATTCTTTTTCTTGTCTGTCAGTGAAGATAGAGAAATCAACGATGATTGGGCTGAAGGACAGGTAATTGGTGGCGATGTTTGAGGCGAATCCATTAAGGGGTGGATTTTATGTTATATGCTAACTTACCGCACACAATATGGTGAAGTCTTTGTTATTGCAAGGCTAACCTTAAATCAATATTTGATTCAGGTGGGATATTCAAGGCGAGGAGATTAAAGTCAGATTCTCTCAAAACTTCATCAGATTCTGCACTCAAGCCCATCTCTGGCCATTTTACTAGAATAACATCTAAAGGGATTCAACACAAAGTTCGAATCCTGCAGAGGAAATCTCAATGGAGAATGGCTTAACAATGAGTGTGTGTGTTTGCGAAAGGCTTCGAAGCTTTTATGTAATTGATAAAAAACATGATTTTTATCTTGTGTCTGCGACAATCTCCTGTTTACTGTATATTTTATATTTCATATGATATGTGAACATCGGCACAATACAGTTTAGAGGCGATTATAATGTTGGCGAAGAGTGTATTATGTGGCTGAGCTGTACATAAATAGAGAGAGGGATGAGGTGAAAACAGTGACTATGTATAGCGAGGAAATGCCGAAAGGTTGATGGGATGTTTATCACTCCGGGTGGAATTTTATATGGGAAAAAAGTGTGGTTCTGCAATGCATAATTTATGTTGGGTTGAGTTTGGAATTTTCTCCCTGAGAGATTTGATGTGTTTTTTTTTCTTCCTTTCTTTTTTTTTTACTTAATTACTGATTTGTTTTAACAACAAAACTTTGCAAATTGTCAAAGAATTATTTTTTGACAAGTGATTTATTAAATTGTCTTGCGAATATTCAACAGTTTCACTGGGGTTTGAGAAGTTCTTTGCTTAAAGTTTTCCATGAAGTTTTCCTAGAAAACCGTACTGACAGTGTGGATTTTGTGGCGAGGAATTTATTGTATGACTTTGACAAGAGGGAATTGTGAATAGATTTTCAACTCTGAAGATTTTCTCTGAATTGCATTAACAAGATTGGAATATTACTTGAAGATTTGGTTTGAACAAGAGAATTTCTAATTAGTTATTATGCTTTCTATGCATGTACACACATCATAAATGTGAGGAATTCCTGTAGAATAATAAAACATTGCGTTGTTTATCAGTTTAATTGAAATTCTCGACATTTTGATGCAAAAGTCATGAATGATAGTTTAATTTTGGTGCATAAAATGAATGTATTTTATGCTTGAAAATAGAGTGTTAATTTTAAAATTCAACAGTTAGTTAAACTAATAACAAACAGCATTAATTTCAATGTTTGAATTACAAATTTATCTTCATGTGCATAAAATTAAGATAAAAATATCACTGCAGAATTCGTATCTCTACTTTTTTTAAATTAATGTTTTATCAACTTTTTCCTCTCTCTCGGAAAATATTTCTCTATAGTGCAAATGTCAGCGAGGAAGTCTTTTTGTAACAATTTCCTGAACAATCAACTTTTACTGTAATTTGATTTTCATATGGAAAAATGTTTGAAATTGAATTTTTTCTCAGAAATCTGGATTGCGCACAGCAAAATTGAATTTTCCCTGGAATTCTTCCACAATGTGTAGAATATTTCACACTGAGCGAAGGATGGAAGATGTGTTGGGAATGTGGAACACATATAGTACTAATTATTATTAGGTAATTGAGAGATCCTTTCGTGGTGACTTGTGTATTGAGAGAAGACGGAAGTCAATGAGGGGATTTTGGGAAATAAGTAGCTTATAAGGAATGGTGAGGAATTTAGGTTTCGCTGCTACAAAATTCTTGTTCCTCTCTCTCTATCTTTAGCGTCTTTCTGTGTGTGTGTTAATTGAAAGAAATTTGCAAAAGAGATGATGAGGGAAATAAATATTAAAATGGGAAAACTTCACGGCGTGTAATTCCTCTTCTCCAGCATAGATTCCAGTCTTTCTTGGCTGCGAGATAGTTGAAATACGTTTCGCATAAATTTCACTCGCCAGTCAGACAGTTTTGACCACACATTGGTTGGGGAGAGAATGTGGCACAATGGGGCTCGAATGGACTCTCTTGCAGACATTGCAGGAAGAGTCAATGAATTTTTCCCTCTGCATTTACTCTTCTGGACTTGTAATATAAATTTATAATTCAGCATTCACGTGAATATTATGCTGGGTGAATGTATTTTCAATGCATCACTAAATGCTCCATTGTGATGTGTTCAATCATCATCACATAATGTAAAATATATAAAATCCATTGACTTTTTCACTCTATCAAATCTCTGTGTGTGGAAAGAGTGAGATGGAATGAAAAAGAGGGAGTTGGAATAATAGTGGAAAGATACAGTTACGATTATGATGCTTATAAGATCAAAATTAAACCATTAAACTTTAACCTTTTTGTGTGCTTGCTTGGCTCTGTAAATTCCACTGGAGTCACTGAATTGGCTGCTTTCGGAAATTGGAGAAAAACTCTTCGCCACATTTATGGCTTAATGGCCAGCTGTTAGTTTTTAGTGCATTTTATCAGTGGTTTATGTTGATGTTTTATTAGAACTATTTGCGGTGATTTGACAACTATATGAAACTGCTTATTTTATTGAATTGCTATGAAATTCAGCAGAATATTTACTAGTATTTGCTGAAGAAGATGTTTTGAGTGGGAATTTTTGTCGCTGGCAATTTTTTCTCTTACAAAAAGCGTCTATCGGTTGGTGTTATCGCGCAATTTACACCTTGCGCGCGATATCACCGCTTTTTTCTGCTCTAGAGAGAATGTGTAAATAAATACGTGACGTCTCTCTCAACTACGAAGAACACTTATCAACACAGGGTGTCAAATTCTCCCTCACGTCGTACAAACTTTTGCACCGTCGCGCGGGCAAATTGAGGTGTGAATTAAAAAAGGGACACGAGAGAGAGAAAGAGAGAGAAACTCTTGTGATAGATTAGATAAAATGTGAGCGAGGCATACATATCTTGATAAGTTTTATGCTCGTTTTTTTCCACTAATTTCATGATGATGATTTCATTGCTGATAATATTATTATTTAATTTTTGCTACTTGCAGAACTTCTTTCGGCTTCATCGACTGAGAAAATTGGGCTTGAGTGATAATGAAATACACAAATTACCACCGGATATACAAAATTTTGAAAACTTAGTGGAATTAGATGTTTCCAGAAATGGTGAGTACTTTTTTTTTATTTTCACTTTTTTCTTTAAAGAACACTTTGATGATGTAGAAATATATTTCTATTTTGGAGTGTTTTGAATTTCAATGTGAGTGAAAATAAAGAGAAGCATTTTGTGTGGCTTCTTTTTATTTAGAAATTGGAAAGTGGTGGAAAAATATTTCCAACATTACTTTTCACTCTGTTTTTTTTGGGGTGGGTTAAAAATAGAACTTTTTTCCTGTTCTTTTTCCAAATATAATAACCATCTTTTAGCACTTTTCCGAATAGTTTCAATATTTATACTTTCATGTGCATTAGGTGTGGAAAATTTCAATGAATTTTGTAGTAAAATGTCGAAAAAAATTAAGGAAATTTCCCATTTTGGGGGCTTTTTTATGGATATATTTTGACATAAACTTGATGAGAGAAATTTCTTGACAATTATCACTTAATTTCATACTAAACTCATGTGAAAATTGTGAAGATTTTCCGGAAATTTATCCACAAAACAGCATCATTTTTTCAATGCACAGTTGGTGATCTGTTTGAGAGACAGACTCTCGTTTTGTGTATATACGTTTGATAATCCAAATCCAAACACATGAGTTGAAGTCAAAAGGAGGAGAAAAGAGATGAAATTCTTAGAGATGTAATATATACAACAATTTGAACTGTGTGAAAAGTGATGTTGAAGAGGCAAAAAAAGTGTTGAGTTTTTATAGTTGCCAAAAGCATTTTCATCAAGAAAAAAAATTTTATTTCTTGGCGGGTTATTATGCAATGACGGGAGAATTTTTGCACATTTTTCTCTCCATACTTTTCCTCTCTATAAATATTCCTTGACTGAAGACCTTTTCGGCTGTGAGATTCCACGCAGAAATTATAGTTTTGGGTGGTTGGTTATTAAAATTTTTGCGACTCGTGTATTTTTAGACAATTTTCCGACAGACTTTTCGTCTGTTCTCACATGGAATTAGGGGAAGATGGAACACAATATCGCACCGAAGCACAATTGTTCATGTGCGATGTGATAAAATCAGCAATTCTGCACTTCCAATTCGACGGGTTAATTGGAAACGATAAGAATCATCATTATTCAAGAGAACGAGTTGAATATTTAACGTTAATATCGCTGCGAAATTTGTCAAATTGACTTTAAAATCCTCAAAACACCTTTCAATCGTTTGTCAAAGTGCTAATATTGCTCTGTAATTATCAATTTGTGAATATTTCAGTTGATTTTATTGGTATTTATTGGAATTTTTGACTGAATTATGGCAAAGTTAATAGAAAAACAGAAAATATTACTTTCCAAAGTCGATTTTTAGCAGTCTTCGAGTACATTTTATCTAAACAAGTTTTAAAAATCCACTTATCATACTTTACACTAACTTTTCTTTAAATTTTTCTATTAAATTAATTGAAAGATATGAGAAATATTCATTCAAAGTCTTCTTAAACGATAAAAATAGTTGATTTTTCATAGTTTACGTCTAATTATAGTTTATTGTCTCATGAGATGCAAATCTCAAAATTTTTGTAGTTCTGAAAAACCTTGAAACCTTGCTTGAAGACCATTTTAGGGGCAGCGTTGCCCCGTTTTCCCCTATAGTGTCTCTAAATGGCACATGCGGAGGATAAAGGCGCATGTGAGTGTTGTTGGGGGTGGAGATAAAAAATGATTATCGCATAGTGTGATTAAGTAATGGATGGCCCTTTGCTTTTGCGTGTGTTTCATATTAATCTGCATCTTGATGGTTTTCTCACTAATTTTGTGACCTAATATGACTTTACACACATGACGACGACAACCAAGTTTGGGTGGAAAATTTTGTGACGAAGCGAACAATAATTAATGTTGATGGGAAAGTTAGTTGGTGAAAACCGCACAGGAAAATTGTCTCAAAATATTTTAATGATTCTGCGGTGAGTGTGTGTTTTTGGGGAGGGAGGAAGGAAAAGGCAGATTGAGAGATTAGAATTGACATGTGAATATTGAAAGATATAATTTATGGTAATTAATTTGTTCATTTAGTGTGCACTTGAGCGTGAAATGGGCTGAAAGTTTTGGGTGGGGAGGGGGAGAATATTTTGAGTGCGTGGGTGGCTGAACTTTATTTATCTGTCTCGTCCGCCTTCGGAAAATGCCACTGTGAAAATTGACAAGAAGTGCAAAATGTGTGTGTAAGATTTATGGAAAATTTTCACTGAGGTGCAAAATTGTGGCTAATTGCCATTGGCATGTTTGACAAGAGAGTTTTCACACTAATTTCTCAAAGTTTTGTTGGACATTTCAGGTGAAATTCAGTAGCCAAAACATTGAGAGAGGCTCTAACAGTGTGTACAAGTACATTTCAGTGCATAGTGTTAATGATTTTTCGGTGTTTTGCCACTTGTTGTGCACTCAAGCGCACTTCCTTCGAGTCTCGCTAAATATTTTATTCAACATCAAACACTTTTGTTCTACTTTTTTTCTCAACTTTTGCCCTATGTTGTTGTATATAACAAAACGAGTGGAAAGTCTGTCTGAATGTGAGAGATTCTCGTTAGCACGATTGTGTGATGAATGTTGGCTGTGCCTCAGGCGAAAATGCCCATAAAAATTCCACATATTTTTGAGTGTGACTCTTAGATGCTCTCTAACAACATCCCACGGATGACAATATGGGGAATTCCTTTCATCTTTTATCGTTTCACTCAACTCTGTTGACTAATAAGGGCGGCTGTGATCAATGCGATTGATTCTCAATGCTACAATCGTTGGTTCGAATCCCAACGATTGCAAATGTTCAATCACAGCAGAGTGCAAAAATTGAGCCTTTAAATAAATAAACGATAGAATAATAATTCAGAAAATATGTTGTGATACGCTATAAGAATGCTTCTCACTTTATCACTTTATCATATTGATTCCAATGCATTCGAAGCTTGCAAACTCACGATGTTGTTTTGTATTGTGTGAAACGACAGCTGGGAAAATGGTGAGAGTTTTCGGAAGATAGTAAAATTGTCTTTGACACATTAGAGTGTCTCATTAACATTCATTAACTAATTTCTCTCTCACTCTCAAGTGATAAACTTGCTTTTGAAGACACAAAGTGACTTTTTTTCGTGCAAAAAATCCCTTTCTTTTGAACTTGATTGTTGTTTGGCTTTGTGATGAATTACCATCAGACATTCATTGGCTATCAATTTGATGAATAGCTTTCGCTTGCAGAGAGTGAAATAAATTATAGTGTGGCTGCGCTTTCCTGCGTGGAAAATCTATGAGAGTCTTCTTTTCTTCTACTTCTCTGTCTTGTGGTGAAATAAAGAGCGGCAGATGGAAGTAGGAAATATATATTTAAATTCTCATATTAATTCTCTCCACGAAGTCAACACACAAATAGTCTGTGTGAACTTCTTGGAAAGTCAGATGAAAAATTATTTGAGTATATTTGCATTTTTCCTTTGTGTGTTGTGAATGGAAATTCCGGGGAAAAATGAGTGAATAAATCTCAATCTCCGGAATAAAATGCCAAATCATTTCTTAATGATTTTTTCCAATGTGCAGAGGAAAAATGAATCACGCTGTGAAAATATGTTGTTATTGAACATGTTGTGGTGATATATAAAATCATTGTTTAATTGATTGTGAAAAATTCATTTGACGAATTAATTTGACAATTGAAATACATGGAAAATTGATGGAATTGATAAAATATTAAATCTTCAATCCTGTGTCAATGCCATTTTGCGCTCTCACGCTTCGCGGCGGGTTATTTCTAATTAACCCCAATATTGCCATGCAAAATCGATAAATGCGGGTGGATTGTGCGAGGGTGGATGTGTGTGTGGGTGGGGGTGGGAGAGGGAGATTTATGAAAAATGAGTGACTCCTTTGATATCAAAATTTTCCCACGAGTTCATTTTGTGTGTTGTTATAGACAAAATAATGGAATTTTCGGTTCACCACTAATTGCGGCTTAACTGTAGCGTTGCATGTAATATCCACATCGAGGCTTATATATGCCTCATGTTCTCCTCCCACTCTTCCGCCCAGTGCTGTAATGGCCATAACTTTGCTGTTTGCTTGAGCATCTTGAGCGATGAAAAACTAAAATTATGCCCTAATCGAATTTGTGTCACAAAAATGTGGGATTTTGAATGTTTTTTTTTTTGGAGAAAAATTCAACATTCAAGGCTGTAAAGATGAATGGAAAATGTGTGTGAAAATGCCTTAGATGTCATTGGATATTTCACTGACTAAAAATAGTAAAACTTTGTCAATAATTTTCTTATTTTGTAACACATTATAAACTCAATGTTTCATGATGACGATTGTGAATCATCTGCAAGTCAATGAAACTTTTCCAACTTCTTTACCTCTCTTTAGTAAGGCTCTTAATCATTGCTTTCAGCGAAAGAGAGCGAGAATGAAAATATTGCGTGGCTATTGAAAATGAAAAGTGACCTAAAGACGCGCGCGCGCGCGGCTCTTATCGAGGTGGTTTGAATGATGTCGAGAGCGAAAACCATACACTTGATGTGTACAAAGTGAAAAAAAGAATATGTATAAAAGTAATTTCAATTGCGCAATTTATTTTTTTCTTTATTGTTTTCACCTGGTATGCAATAAAATTAAAATGTACAGAGAGTGGAGGAGAAGAAGAAGGTGACTGTTTATTGTTGTCTCATTAAATACATCGCAATTTTTACGTATATTTTTCGCTATAGCCGAGCAATTGTTATGTATTTGTGTCATGATGTGTCGCACAAATATAGGTGAAATAGGTTGAGAGATACAAGGTTAAATCGGTTAAAAGAATTTAATATTTGCTCACTGCGTGCAATACGTGAGAATTTTTTTGTTGTAGGGAATTGATTGTCAACTGATTCACTGGATGATGATGATGATGATGTGACACTGCACACGATGATGGTTACGTGAAAATGTCTGGAGAATATTAATTGGGTTATTTTCTGCCTAATTAGTGAATTATGACAAAACGATTTTAATTGAATTGATGTGT